ATGATCTATGCAATAGTCTATGTGAGATAGTATATATTCACGTCCTTTTTAAGAATTCGCAAAGTTGTTATCGAAACCGTCGAAACCGTCGAAACTTTCGCGACCCATCGAAACCCATCGAAACCCGTCGAAACCCATCGAAACTGTCGAAACAATTTCTGAAAAGTTTCGACTTTTGCCAAAATGGGTTTAGGGTTTTGCCCCACAACTATACACCCGACGCCAGTAAGTGAGTCGCAATAGATTTGTTCAACGCAAGTGAACTCGATAAGGCTTATTTCTTCTTTTCTTTATTATGATAGCCACCCATCAACCTATTTCCGTGGAGAACCTTACGCTTGATCTTGGGCAACTGGTATTTTTTTTGTGATTTTGATGTCGTACTCACAGAAATTGTTCTAGAACTTTTACTAATCTCATGTTCTACACACACTCCAGGCTCTGTGACGCTTGCTAACTTTTAAAAAATCACTATTTTGGAAAATGTTGATCAGATTATTATCTCGTTGAGACCTACCTCAGTGAACTCCCCAATAAAGTCGCTAATTACCTGCGAAACAATAACAAACTCATCAAACAGAAACGGCAGTTCAAAAATGGTTCAATAATTTGATGTCTCAATTTGGCTCAAGATGGGTTGCAGAAGCTAGATTTGCGTAATGAAGTTTGCAATCGAATAACTCGTGAACACATCAAGATACACGTGTAGGATATCTCAACGGATTAATGCCAGACCTCAGCATTTTTAAGACGGAAGATGTAATTTAATGAACTTTTTTGTCGACGCTTAAACAGATTATCCATTTAGGTATTAGCTTAGCTCTGTCCGCACTATAGATTTGGCCAGAGCTAATTCTGGCCAAAATCATAATTTCGGCCGGAGTTAAGATCACCGGTTACATTTTTTTTATAAATTATTAGTAAGCAAAATCACATTAAAATTCCAACGTTCTTATTCGATTAAAACATAATGCGTGATTTGTATATTGAACAAATTTCGGAATAAAAGATTTAAAATGAATTTTACTGTAAATAAAAGTTCGAATTTTATCCAATAAAGCATCAAGAATACGTTTTTTTTTTTCCTCAATTTACACGAGAGGAACTCCCATAATACTTTAACAATTAGCGTTGGAAATAATTGTTATTTTATAACCTTAATAATTTCTATAGTCCGATTGATTGCTAAAGTATTGAAAGAGCGTAGAAATAACTTTTATAAAACTAGGTTCTGTGAAAACACTGACAACAATATTCTTACATTTAGGCAGCATTAACAGAACCAGATTGAAGTTGTTAAAGCGAATCATCATTTAGAAACTTTGGGATATTGTGTTGCCCTCATTTAAATTATTAATCAAGGCCATATCATTAGGGTAGGATACGGTGTAAATTGAGATACTTTTAATTACGATTGTTATATACTAAGTTAGAGCTAATTTTGAAGCTTAGACTTTAAGCTTGCCAGCCTAGACTTTAAATTCGTGTATTAAAATGCCGAACCGGACTTAAATATGACAATTCGAATCTGATTGGAGATGTGCGAAATTTAATAATTCAATCATATTATTTTTATTTTACAAATTATATTGGTGAATATATGAATCATACAATAATATCCTTGATTATAAATTTTTTAGAGTGCTGGCAAGATAAACGTCCAACTATGATTCGAGTGGTTGAAAAATTAAATTTAATTATTAAAAACAAAAACGAACGTGACAGGTGTAAAGCGATACAAGATATAGGATATTATTTATGATGATGATATTGAAAGTTAACTATCACGAAATTAAAAAAAGAATAACATATTAAACACCTCAGAAGGATTCAAAGATATCGAAAGTTAAATAACTCTCCGATTCGAATATACTGAATTAACCAAAGTTACCGACATTTCCAAACTCCTTAACCTATCTTGACTGTACCAATACCTTAATAACTTCTTACCAACTTTACCAAACTCGTAACTCATCTTTACTGCAACAATCCAAAATATTTATCTAACAAAAAATGTGCTTATATAGGAGGTGAATATATAGGGGGTCAACTGTATATTGGCTTAATGAATTTATACAATCAATTATTATTAACTTTATATTAAATTAAAAACGTCTGATCCACAAGATAACTTTATAAAGAATATACCTTTGCAATAGAAAGGGAGACAACAATAAAACAAAAATGAGTTAATGCTGAATCTGAACATATTTTGGCCTAAAAATCATATTTGGCATATAAAAATAAATTGATTTTTTCCGCAGTTTCCCACCTATTGCAAAGGTCTTAAATAGATGTTGCATTGTTATCATATTATTCATTTATATTCCAGGAATTTAATCCAAGTAAAATGAAGAACTTTTTAATTTGAAATTTGGATTTACACCGAATTTAATAAAACCTATTAGACCGAATATTCGGTTGTAATAAAACCGAAAAACTGAATTTCGATTAGTTTTATAATGTAACAAAATATTTATTTCTTTGATTTAATTTAATATTATAAAAAGAAAAATAATAAGATAAAAATGTTAGATAAAAAAAAAAATAGAGATATCTTGAGAAAAATATTGTATAGATATAAATGTCGAAAATATTTAACAATCGTCCTCTTCCGCAGTTTTATCGTCAATGACGAACCAACCAATCATCGGCGAGACAACCACTTCATTAGAATTCTCGAGAAATTCTTGTTGCGCACCCAAAAATCCGGCAATGAATTTTAAACATAAACCAGTATTAGTTGTAAATGGGACTGCAACCCTTCCATCAGGAATTTCATCCGGTTCAATTGAATCACGAGTTAACTTTGTTCCATTCTTTTCATAAGGATAAAAAGCCATCATCCATCCACTAATATTACTAGGGCCTGAACAAAACGATCGTTGCGAGGCTATCATTGACCAGAACACTTCATCCACTTCACCTTTATAGGTTTCAATCAACTTGCAAATAACTGGCTCCAATCTATCCAACCAAAAATCGAGATCTAAATTTAATCGTCGTAATTGAATGACCTTTTCTTGTACCTTTTCCCAATCTTCTAAAGTACCCTCGAGAGTAACTTTAGGAATTCCGCAGCAAAAATGCATTTTATATGAAAAATATGCTTTAACCATATCCAAAAGAACGATACGACTAGCGGTAAGCGAATTTTTTGTTGTAGTAGAAAAATCACATTCTAAAAGGGATTTTATATCCATTTTCTCTACAGCTTGATCAGTTTTCACGACCAATCTATTTACCGCTTCAGGCCAATCTCCCTCAATTCTAGAAAAGTTATGGGTTAAAATATCATCGACTGAAATACTTATCTCTTTTTTGCCTTCATGATTAACAAAATAATAACGAAATTTTTCTGCATTATAATTAATATGATGACTAACTCCTTGTGCGATGGTTAACCAGATATCATCAGGCGATAAACGTAAATGTTGGTGGTTGTTGTAAGCATGAAGAATAACCACTGCCAATCCATGAGAGGTCATCTTATTTTTAAGCAGAAATCTTTTGCTTGGAGTTTCCTCATAATCAACTGAGATAGCGTGAACATTTGTATCGGGAAAATTTTCAGAAATTCTATCATTTATTGAAACATGTTCGTGAAGGTTGTTATCGAGATTAACCTTTTTGGTGAGGATGTGAGTAGTCATTTTTTTTTTTTTTTTTTTTTTTAATGATTTTATAGCATTACTTCCAGGCAATTTATTTCAGCCCACCACACCAGGAACGGGTTAATGAACTAACCATAGTTGGTGATTTCAAAATAAACGATCTACATTACCATATTGATAAATGACAAGAATAAAATAGCTGTTTCACATCGTATTGTCATTGATTAAATTTCGAATGACGATCCTCATTTGCATTTTTTATTTCCTGCTTTCGTGATTTAAAGGTTTTAAAATAAATATTAATACTGGTTAATACACTAAAATATTCATCTAATTATCAAAAATAAAAAATCGACTTTTAAGCTCTAAATTTATTGAATGAATGTTTATGTGTTTTTGTTGACTATCCCTGCGTACCCATCAAAATGTCACGAAAATTCACGTGATATATTTTGTCACCGGTGTCACTTCCTACGCATTTCTATGGGTACAGAAATTTTTCAGTAGCTAAACATCATTCGTCACTTTCCATACGTCACAAGTGCGCCATAATGAATTCCGTGAAGCCGGCCATTTCGTGACATTTTTTGATGGATACTCAGGGAAATTTAATAATAATTGTCGCATAATGGCAATATCTGATGAAAAGTTCACGGTCAAGAAAAGTAGTTATTAACAAAAACTTACTTCCTTATTGATCCATTGTTATTATAAAATAAAAAATTTGCTCAAGTTAAAGGTGTGGGTTTAGCAATTTTCTAAATGTAAAAGGTAAAAAAACCTGAGAAATTCGGAAATATAAAATATTTCGGATAAAGAATTAGCCGTTTTTTTTTTCATTTTCAGACGAGTACGTGAACGCTTTTGTTTTTGGAAGTAGTACCAACTATAATAATGGGTATACATGTTTTTCATCCTGCTCCTGGTCAGTGATGGCAAGTGACCCAAATGACCAGGCCATTCGAAGGTAATTCAGAAGTCATTTCAAAATGGCCAAATGACCTGGTCATTTGCCATCAATGCTCCTGGTAGTGATTGTACTCTTCCATCTATTGCTGGTCTAAGCACTTCCTTGGATGCAAAAGGATCTCGTTATTCCACTTCTATTCTCGTTCAGGCAGGTTTTCAGGTGACCTGCCTGGTATGGTCAAGGAATCAAGGAATTCTTAAAATTCTATTACCAGACCTGAGGAAGAAAACCAAAATTATTTTATTATATCGAGATGGTATCTTAGATAATCAATTCAAAACTGTACTAGAATTATAATTACCGGAAATTAAAGGTAAATATATTTTTAAAAAAAAATTATTTTATAGCAACAAATGCTCAAACACACCTTTTCACAACGCTTACCTCATGTGGATCACTTGAAGCGAATTATAAACCAACAATAACTTACGTATTGTTCAAAAACGTCATCACACTCAATGAATGTAAGAAGTTCCGATAGAACAGGGAATTGCCTTCCAGGAACAGTTGTTGGTTCGAATTTGACTTTTATGTTACAAGTCGTTCTAGTTTGATAGGAACCTCGCGTCCAAAACATTATCATGTCTTATATGATGAAAACCGTTTACACCTGATTCACATCAAACCTTATCATACAACTTGTGTTATACATTTGCACGGTCGCAAGTGCATTTTCTATAGTTCCAACAGTAAACTATGCTCATTTAACTTGCAGTAGAACCAGGTTTCATTTGGAAATGCTTTCTCTGTATCAAAACTTCTATTTTTAAATAAATCAAGTTTAATAAAATTTAGCTATTCGAGTAATTGTCTACAGTACATGCTTGCATGTTTGATCGACGAATCAGATTTTGAGCACGTGTTGTCGATTTTGTAACAATATTCTAAAATGATTTTGTAATTTATTGGATATATACTAGAGTTTGCAGTTTGCAGAGGACTTCGTCCCCCATTTAGCATTAAGTGATTGATAGCATAATCAGTTTAATTATACTTAAATTTATTATACATGTATAAATAAAAATATTTAACAAATTTTTTAGCAAAACATTTAATTATTTTTGATAAAAAAAAAAGATATTTTAGTATCTTGGACATATGGGACCTTTGCAATAGAATAGGGGAAAGGCTGGAAAAATAAAAAATGAGTTGATGCTAAATTTGAACATATTTTTGACCTAAAAATCATATTTGGCATATAAATGTAAAATTGATTTTTTCTGGTCTGGCAGTTTCTCTCCTTATTGCAAAGGTCCTATGTTACTTAATCTAACTAAGTTTCTTTAAAAAATAAACCCTTTATTTTTCTTTCCTTATTACACACTTGGAAACTATTTATAACCACTTCTATACACATTAATCAAAATACTAAAAAATTCTGAGATATATAACATTTTTTTTTAGTAAAAAAAAAAAGTATTTTAATATAAAGGAATAATAATTATAAAGAACTTCAAAATATTTTCTCAGTGTAGAACATTACCAAAATGTCATAGTTGTCATATATCATAAAAAAAGGAAATTAAGGATTAATTACATAGAAGTAGATTATTTAAGACCAAGTTTTCTATCTGATAATAATTTAATAATACCTATTCTTATCCAAAAAGTATACATAAATCAATTAGATTCATCATTATCTAGAATAGCAAGTAGAACATATTTTAAATCTTGATTACTTATGATAATCTATTTTGAATTCTTTGTCAAAAATATTAAAACAAACGAAAGAAAACGAAGACTAAGATATTGAAAAGATGAAATGAGAATAATATAAAATGATGTAAAAGGTAAAATATATTATGCATTTTCAATTCAAAAATTTTGTAATTAAATAGATTTATCACAGCTGAATCAAAGATATAATTATAATGATTATTTCATCAATTATTAAAAGTTTCGCAAAGATGTAAAAATTTTTATTGTTTTAACATTCTTTATATAATATACACTTAAAATAAACTTTGATAAACATTTTATCAAAATTCTTTTTATTTTAATTTGAAAATAAGTTTATCATTAATATATAATCATATTTTATAATAAACAAATTTTATCAGCAAGAATGTTTAAAGATGAGATCTATAATTATATTTCTAAATCTTTCTTATAGTAAAATTGTAAAATAATAATTTGAATCATAAATTTCATATATTATTAATAAATTATTTACTATATTAATAGATAGATAATAGCGAAATTATTTTAAATAAGAATAAAGAATTATATAAACATATGTGATATCAGCAATTGAGTAAATAACTAATATATTTTCATGTTTACTATCACCTAACCATAAATTAATTAACACTAAATAGATTACATATTACTAACAAAAAATAACTTTAGTAATCTTTTAAAATTTTAAATCTATATTTACAATTTAAAGTATCTAAAACAATTGAAATTGAAAAAATAATTATCATTTTTCAAATAAGTTGTATGTTTAAAATACAGAATCAACTTAATACTGTATTTTTTATTTTTATTTATTTAAATAAGTTAGAATACTTGTAGGTTTGTAATTTAGCTTTATATTTTGGGTTGGCTTTCTTTAAAATTAAATACAGTATATAGTATATGAAAAAAAGTTTTTAGAATTACATTTTAATTTATTGATATCTAAAAATAAATTGAAATAATATAAAAATTAAAATATATATTTTCTATTATTATATAAAAAATATTGTTTGAACTTAATTAATAGCTTATCTTATTATCATTACCTACAATTATTTGTTCTGATATACTACAAATTAAATTAATAAAAATTTTAGAATCAATTTCCTCCTACTCTTTTTGAATTATATTAAGAAAATATCTATAGCAATTATTTTTTTTACCAATGATATATTAATCTATTTCTTTATACATTTCTTCAAAATTTCTTGTAAATTTCAATTGGATTGAAGTCTAGACTATTCGATAAATGGTTAATCCATTCTTCAGTATCTCAAAATTATTCTTCTTAAAAAACTAGTATTTAACTTCTCACAGTTATCCTTAAAAAAAGTTTATTTCTAATATCTTGATTATTAAAATATTTTTATTACTTTTGCTAAATACTAAAATGCTAAAGAGTTTTTTCAAAATACTCAAATATTTGTAAACTCTCAAATTTATGTATTAGTAAAGAAAATAACTTATAAGAATCTTTATGATAAACATCGATAAAATTTTTGAAGCGCAGATTTGCACAGGTTAGTAGGGTCAAATATCTACGCAGATCTGCTAATATGCCACTGTGAGTCATAGCAAAATTTTTATCAAACTTACGCAGATCTGCATCATAAAAAAATCTGCAAAAATTTTTAATAATAAATCTTCAGAAAAAATCAAAATAATTATGCAATATATTATAAATTTATTTTGCAATTTATTTTGCAATTTGAAAGCTAATGATACATTCAATATATTTCAATATTATTGTTTACAATTACTAATGAAAGGTTTTAAGTAAAAAAAAAAACATAAAGAATTAAAAGAAAACTAAGAAAACTAACTAAAGGAAAAAAAATAGCGAAATATTTTGAAATTAGTTAGTTTTTAGAACTTTCGCTTCAAATTCAAAAAAAAAAGTTAAAAAGATGGATACTTCTGCTCTGACTAATAAAAACCAACCAACTTTCTACTTGATAATTATCCAAAAAATGTTAGAATAATGAAATATTCCAAAATTTACTTTTTAAAACTGAAACTTCGCTAGTATCAGCTGATAAATCGAGAATTTAATTCATTAATCTAAAAAGTATAAGTTCCTTTAATAATAGAATTTGGATATAATAAACATCGATATTTAACTTACAAAATCGTCATAATCACCATCTTCAAAAGTCGCTTCAGTTTCTATTATCTGACTTCTCTCACAGCTTTCTCTTTGCCTTTTCTTACTTGCTTTTTCAGCTTCTCTTATTTCAGTTTCTGCAATTTCATCTATTATTTGTCATATCACAGGGTCATTATTTTCAAAAGCTCACTGTTAATATAAATAAATTATATATTAATAATTAAAAAGTATTAAAGTAAATTTCTGAACTTTAGAATAATGTGATTATTTACCAAAAATGTATTTACTCATCTTAGAACAGATTTATCATTATATTTAATACCAGAACTCTTTGGATTTAACATAATGTCACATATAGAAAGTATATATATGCAGTGTATTATTGAAAGCTCCTTTTCTTTGTATAACTTAAAAACGTTATACCTGATTATCAAAAGCAGTTCAGATTTATTAAAAAGATCTTTATACACTCTTTTTGTTTTTTCGCTTAACTTTTACTTAGCTAATTTTAATGGAGATATATTATTATTGACGCGTTTTAAACGATCTTTACCAAATGTTGAAAACAGCACATTTTGGATGTTTGTAGCGATATCGTTTCTTTTGCTTCTACCTTTTACTTGACCTATAAAATTTAAAATTATTCAGAATCTTTTTAAAGTTCACTAAAGCTCCTAATCTAAGATTTTACTTACTTCTGTTAATAATTTTTCTTCAAATAAAGATATCCAGCTATTTTTTCCTATTTGCTGAATAAAATGTTTCGCATGCTCAGAAAGATATTCTTCTAATGACTTCCGATATTCTTGAGTTGAGAAAAATAGGATATTTGGTAGAAGTTTTTTGCAACTTCCTTATAAGCACGCTGAAAAGAAAATCATTAAGTAATTAATTGAAGATTAGCACATACTTTCTTAAAATAACTTACAGTCCAAAAAGCATTTGAAAGTTCATCAAATGCAACAAGTTTCGTCAATAACTTTGCACTTTCTTATTGTTTGTCACTGATGAATCTACAAAGTTTGTATATAGTGTTAATTTTGGTGTTCACTAAGTCTATTGTATATTTGAACTCGTTAATAGTTAAATAGTGTCTGTGATCATCATTTTCAACTAGTCATAGCACTTTGGATAATGGAAAAAATCCTTTACTCACTGGCAAAGAATCAGGATCATTATTGCAGATGTTATATAGTAAAGAATTGTCATCGATCATCATCAAATCGGTTGATTTTCTGCTAAGTAGTTCAACTGATTTTTATGAGAAGACATCATAGATGTAGAATGTTCAAGAAATTCTGAAGATCTAGAAGGTGTAGAAAGTCCTGAAGGTCCTGGCAGTTCTGAAGGTTCTGATGGCTCTAGAGGCTCTGACAGTCCTGAAGGTTCAGTTGAGAAGATAGATTCTTTAAGGGATAATAGATTAAAGATCAGTTATTATATTAGTTTTTATTTATGTTAGAAATTACTTACTGCGTAATATTTGTGAAAATTTGCCTTCAGTAGATCTAGAAGCTCTGTTTTGTAATTGTTTGATTCTAACAGGGGTCTTGTTTCATATAGTAGATCTTTTTTTGTTTACATTTGTACATGTCATTAAAAGAAAAAGATGTTGTTGAAAAGAAAAAAAAAAGTTAGAAAAATTCTGAGTATAGAAAAACTAAAACTATTGTTAAAGAAATTTTAAGTATAGAAAAATGTCGTTAGAGAAATTCCAATTGTAAAAAATTATTGTTGAAAGAATTGAGAATAGAAGAAATTTATGATTTATATATTAAAAAATGTGTATAATTGCGTAATAATCGTTTATATTATTCTAAAAATAAATTCAAACTGATGTATAATTATTAAATATTAGTTAAATTGATGTAATTATTAAATTGATGTAATTGTTAAATTGATGATAAGTGAAATAAATTACTGTAAAATTTGCCAAATAAATCAATTAAATAATATATTGTGAAATTATTAATAAATTTGCTTCACTAAACAGCGATAAAATAGTAAATAGAATAAATTTTTCATAGCAAGTAAATCATAAATCCTATAAATCCAATTGAGATATCTTTACTTCATATTTTAGTGATAACATTTAGGAAAAAGATAAATATAATGGTTAAATATCGTTGTGAAATTTGTAGAAGAGAATTTTTAACAACTAGTAGATTAACACGACATGCCAATACTATGCATCAAGGAAGAATAACGCTTTCTTGTGAAACTGGACCTAGACATCAACAATCAATCCATCAGCAATCTCATAGAATGTTAATACCAGAACATGATGAAATCTTATGGAGTATACTGATTACGAATACAAATTTTTCTCAAGTTGACGATGTTAATGTTAATGATGTTGATGTTAACAATGTTGATATTGATGAGGTTAATGTTGATGATATTAATGTTGGAATAGAAGTTGATAATAAAACACATTATAATCTGCGAAGCAGAATGCAAAATATGGAATCGGATAACATTGAAGGAAGAGATGAAATAGAAGAAGAAAATGTTGAAGAGAGTGATAAAGAGTTACAATTACCATTAAACATCAGGGGAATTAACTTTGATTTTAAAAATCTTTAAGAGATAACATTGGACGATACTTTGGATACTATTGAAGGAAAAATAAACCAGAACATGTAGTAGAATAGCCAAATGATACTTATTATGACTTTATGAAGTTAATAGTAAAAGGTAATATATCGAACAAGATCAGGGATAAAATAATTAAATTATTTAATAAAATAGCAATTTGAAAAAGTCTCCGTTACTAAAATTGACAAAATATGGTAAAGCTTACCTCAATCAAATAAATTCACCATCAATAAACTTCAAAGAAAAAACTGTTGCAACTTACTTCAGAGTTGAATTTAAACTCTATTATCGTTCAATTTTCTGTACAATTCAATCCCTAGTGTAATGACTAGAAGTAGCTGATAATTTTATTCATAAAGGAGGTCTAAAATTTTCTTAGAGCAATAGAAGTAAAAGAATATTCAGAGAACCATATGAATGTGACTGTTGGCTAGATACAGAGAAGACACTTCTACCTTTGAACAATCTGTTGTCGATAATCCTGTACTCAGATATGATGACTTTCGATGGACTCAGTAAAACTTCAGGCTATCTGGTATTCTTAATACTTAGAAACCTTTCAAATTGGTTTCAAAATTCTTCAGAGTCAAAAGTTCTTTTGGGATTTTTACTTAAGGTTCAGGATTCAGGAATTAAAATAACTGAATCTTTTCAAAGCTTTCAACATGAAACATATCACAAATGTTTTAAAATCATGCTTCGACCCTTATTAGAAAAACCTGATGTATTATATTTCAGAATCAAAAGACGTAAAATAACTTTTGCTATGCAAATTTCATTTTTCCTTTCAGATATGCTTGAAGCAGATAAAGTAACTGCTACATATAAGTCAGCGCGTAGCAAAATGCCGTGTTATACTTGTATGGTTTTGTGAGAAAATTTAAACAAAATGGATCATGAGTCAGCTTCTCTTAGAACACACGATAATATGCAGAGTGTAATTAGAGATAGCTAAGAAAAGAATCACTCTGTATATTATACTGAAAACGTGTTTTGGGATTTATGTAAATATTGGTTACTATTTAAATTATTTGAAATTAATTATGGATTAGTAATTAATTTTTTTTTAGAAATTTGAATATATATAAAGCTTGCGTTTCTAATCGTATGCATCACATCGATCTTGGGTTTTTTAAATATCAACTGGAATTTACGCAAGATATTTTGAAAGAAGTTAGAGTAACTAAATTACTGAATGTTTTTGATGATTGTCTTTACCAAATTTTTTACTTTTCTGGCTTAAAACTTATAAGTAAGTTAGGCAATTTAAATGTGATTACTGCAGCAGACTATCGCTATATAATGAAAGTTGCAATTTTCGTGTTAGATGAAATTTTTGATAAATAGAACCAAACAACTTATGATGAACTTTACAATCTTTATATAAGGTTTGGTAAAATATATTTAATAAGTAAAAAAGATTCATATACTGAAAGTGAATTAAAAGCCTTTGAGGTAATAGGTGAAAATTTAGAATATACATAAAATTTTATTATAGTTGATAATAACTGAATAACATAAACTTTTAAATTAGTTAACAAGTTTCTAATTAAAATAGGAAGAAATCATTAGTTAGTATACTAACTTTAAGAATATTTTCTCTTCATTATTTACGATAGATTGTAGTTTTCCTAAACTACATAACTGGCAGTACCATATGAGTGAATATCTAATTTTTTTAACTGAAATTCGCAAGCTGTATTTTTGTTCTTGTTTAGTTGCTGCAACTCATAAGTATAGAACACTAAATGGCTTATTGACAGAAACATACAAAACTCTTCATAAATATTATGTAAAAAATTCTTACCGTTTATCAAATAGAAAGGAAGTAATACATCAACTAGTAAATGTGATTAGTTAAAATCTGATGAATACTAAATTTAAAACTTTAATAAAAATATAATAAAATAAAATAATATAAATTTTTACTTACAGATAAAGCGTAAAGAATTGATTCTGATAACCAGGAAGTTATTTACTGTAAACTGAAAGATTTAGAAAAATTCTCTGAGAAATATCTTTGAACACCATCGATATAAAAATAAAGTCTTTAAAGAAATCTGAAAATCCATCGCACTAAAATTTTATTGAAAAGTTGTCACAGATAATTTTAGTACTAGATACCTTTTTGGATACATCTTCACAAGATTCCAAAAGTGATAATTTTTGTATTAAAGTTTACGATGCTGTCCACTTAGAAAGTAGTGAGATTTTAAGAACAACAGGAGATTTCTAAGGTAAAGAATAGTTTAGCAAAGTTGCGGTAACTCATGCAGAGAATCAAGAGCAATGCAGTTCAGATAAAGAAGTGTGATATGAAAAAGTAAGTGAACCTTGGTTAATATCAAAAGTATACCTTTTTGTTTTAGTTAATGTCTTTAAAAACAGAATAACATTTTAAAAGGTATTACTTCTATTCAAATTCTTTCGAGGGTCATCAAAAGCTCCATATGAACTTACTCTTATCTGCTGGTATGATATTGAACTAGATGAATCTGAATTTTATAGTTATTCACAATTGTATTATACTAAAGATTATAACATAATCTCTATCAGTTCTATAAAGCAAGAGGTATATATTGTAAGATTTTATTAAATAAATATTTATTTTAAAAAAAAACTTTGTAACTTTTCAAAATAAAAAAATGCTTTGTAATTCTTCGAAATAAAAAAAAATAATTCAATAAGTTTTGAAATAAAAAAAATGTTTCATATCTCTTTGAAATATAAAAAAAACTTGTGATTTTTTTTTAAAAAAGTCTATTTAA